TCTCTCTCAGCCTCCCAAGCTGCTGGGATTACAGGCATGGGCCACTTTGCCTGGCATAGCAGGACTTTTTAAGGAGTCTTGAAACCTTTGGTTGAAATTTTTGTTTTCCACAACCATACTGAAGTTGAGTGTTTTACAGCCTACTTTTAATGTTTTCTATTTGGGATTAATGGCAGAAACTCTCAAGTGAATCACAAGCATTGTCCTTTGTCATACTTAATAGCTTAGAACTTTTCAATTAATTTTGAGTAGTCACTGAAATTAAGAAAATTATAGGGCTGGGGAATGTGGCTCAAGCAGTAGCGCACTTGCCTGGCATGCACGGGGTGCTGGGTTTGATCCTTAGCACCACATAAAAATAAAATAAAGATGTTGTTTCCACCAAAAACTAAAATAAATAAATAAATAAATATTAAAAATTCTCTCTCTCAAAAAGAAAATTATAATTTTTTTGTGTTTGTGAAATTGGTAAATCTGTTCTACCTCTGATTTGAAAATCCATTCTCTGTTCTGGAATATATCAAGTGCCAATGGTAGTGCTGAAAAACAAGCCAATGGATGCATTGGTTGCAAATGGCATTTGTTAAGGAACTGTGCCTTGAATAAAACTGAAGACCTGATTTGTAAAAATGCTCACTTTTGCTCCTCTGTCCAGCCTGGTGGAATTGTAGGCTGGTGCTCCTGCCTGCCCCATGGGTGAGGGAGCTCCTATAGGCTCGTCTTGAAGCTGTTTTCTTTGCGGTTTGCCCCGGTCCACGGGGAAGCTGTGCATTCATTTTCATTCTTCTCCAGCTCCAGTGCTTTTGAACACAGAACCCCCATCCTCCCACCTCCCAAACTCTACATTCCAACGCTGTGATCTCATGGTACCAGGCGTATCTCCCCTGCCATGCCGGCAGGCTGCCTGCTGACTCTTGCAGGGGAACAGACGGGAACATAAACTCACGGTGGAAGAGCAGGATGCTCTCTGTATATTTTTAAGACCAGGAATCCAGTTCCCATTTAGAGGCTGTATTTTTTTTAATAGCTCCTTGAAAATTGAACAAAACATTTCTTGTTGTTCTTATTTCTTGATAATATCATTCCCTCTGCCTCGATGTATAGAATCTCAGAAACTAGAGAATGGAAAAGATGTATTAGATCATGTCTAGCCCATTCCCACTGGTCAAAATTCTTTTTTCCCACAGTCTCTCCTCTAGTGCTTTTCTTTTCTAGTTTTCTCAAGAATTTGTTTTCTCCATTTCTCCTGGGGAATAATTTCTTAGTTTGACCATGGAGGAATTTATGGGGAAATATTCAGATTCTTTTTTTTTTTTTCAGCTTAATATTCCTGGTCTCCATAACCCTTTACATTACCATAAACAGTTCCTCTTTTTCCTAGGTCAAGTATTTCTGGATGGTATTTTTTTTTCCCTTCCATTTATTAAGTTCAGAGTTTATTTTTCTGCTTTGCTTTCTCTCTTCATCCATCAGCCTTAAAGCTCATTAATCATTTTTTTTACTGCACTGAAAACTCTTTTGCTTATTCCCATATCGGGAACCCAGAGCTGGTTAAGGTCCCTAGGTACTGGAGGAGGCTTCACTAAGATGTACTATGAGTACATGTGTTTCTC